TACTATTAGTCAAATATGATATTTGCCCATATATTTGTCTATATGTTTGCCTACATGACAAATCCATTTTTTCGTCGAGTGTTGACTACTTCTCGTTCTGTTACAAAGATAGTTAAAAAGAATATTAAAATATATATATTTCGGGGAACATATCAACTGACGAATAATGCGATATTGATGTCAGTTCTATAGAATAGTTCCGATGTTCTAATGGTATATACGCGCGGTAATGATCTGTTCTTTGATTCTTTCGAATAGCAGCATTCATGATGTCATCAGAAATTTTTTTACCTCTGTTAATCGAACAATGATTTTTTTTGTCAATTACTAAAACAATGTTCAATTTAAAATATCCTGAAAATTTTTCATTTTTATTGCTGGTTAACCTTTCTTTTGATTTTTTTTTAGCTTAGAAAAAGAAAAGGATTAAGAGTATCTGTGTATAGAATGGTTGTGTTTGGACTTACCATCGTCGCCAACAGCAACATCGTTCAATATGCAATAGAAGACAAGACTGACAACCCTTTGAAAGAAGTTAGCCACTCGTCCCTCGGGGCGGGGCTTCTTCCGTCGGTTGTCTTGTCTTCTTCTGAAGAAGTTCTTGACATCTGAGAACAACAAATCAAAAAACAAGGTTTGTTTGTTAATTAATGATAGGAAAACGTTGTTGTCAGAACAACTGTTGAAAAACGATTTTAAAGAAACTTGGTGACTGGTTAATGTAACTTACTACGTGATAGTGACACAGAGGGCCATGAAGGTTTGAAAAGTCCTCAAAAAAGAACTCCAAAACTTGTGAATTGATCGAAAATTGATTGTCTCAAATTAGCACAACTGGTTCGTCAGTGTAAAACAAAGGAACTGATAATTAACTGATTGATGACGTCATGTAGTTGATTGACAGCCACGTCATTTATTAACATTATTAATTGGCTCTGCGCTCGCTTGGTCTGCGTATCATAAAAGCACGGACACATGGTGCAACATTACGCGCAACATTGTAGGCAATGTTACTGAAGTAGGATAGTTTTCTACTTCAGCAACGTTGTGTGCAAAAAATTGCGTCGTGTGTCATGGCTTGCAACATCAATCGCATGTAACACTGCGCGCATTGTTGCACAGTGTGTCCGTACTTATCTCTCAATTCAAATAGCTTATTAATACTTTTTGCTCAAAGTACAACTTTTCTTCGCTCATAATTRAAAGTAGGTTAATATACTCCTATAGTTCAGGTGTGATATTCTCTTCATAGTTCARGCATAGTTAGCCATGGTTCAAGTAAGGCATAATCCTAAAGATATAAATCAGGTAAGGCATAAGGATTTTCCTCTTCTAGATTTCAATTTGACGGACTTTGGTAGATAGGAATAGGTTAATCAAAAGTAGAAAAGTTTCACCATTCCATATCTTATTATTAAAAAATAAAACGGAAAAAAGGAGCAAAAGCGTGAGTTGGTATAATGTTTAGGTCACCCATCCAAGTGCTAACCCTCTTCAGACGAGCTTGGCTCAGTATCTAGAATGACAACGATTTATCCACTGGACCACGGTTCAAGGTACTGAATCAGCATAACAATAGCCGTAAAGACAATGCCTCGAATATAGACTAGACTTTTTAGCATTACATTTTCAACCGATTCCGTGCGTGGCAGAGATGCAAGGGATTAGCCGATATGGTCTGGGGGCCGGCTGGTCTCTCCCCTGATGCTTCGGCTAGAACATTTTCTTGCGTAAWTCGTACACCCAAGGRCAGAAGGATTTAATCGCCGTCAGGTCCGAAGTCCATACGMCGCCTCAGCTCTGCGGATGTCTCGGGGGTATGGCACAGTGGAATCGCTTTTTTTTTTTTTTTTAATTTCTTTTGGTGGGTTCGAATCCCATCTTAACCACATAAGATTTTTCTTTTCTTTTTAATCCAATTTTCATTAGATTTAAATCTTCAAAATCTTCAACTTAAACAATATTTTTAGCGAAAAAAGATTTATTTGTAGTCGGTTGCTTATAAGCCTCCTGTATAAGTTTGAACTGACGTTATCAGTCACTGATAAGCAATATCGATCCGCGAAAAGTAGAGCTATGCTTTCATATCTTTCCTGGCAAAATTCGCTGTGAAGAACATTTACTGCCCTTGGATCTCGAGCGGCATATGCCCGCAAAGGACTAGTGGATGATGTTGTTAAGACTTCTGAGTACTATTGCACAATTGCTGCATTTCATGACGAGGAAAATAAAAGCCACCCCAGTAAATAATATAATAAAAAAGGATGGTAAAGAGATAAAAAAATTAATTGGTGATTCTGTCTGAGAACATTGAGATATTTGATCTTTTTGTGTCATGACGCAAAATCAAATTCACAAGTAGTATGCCATGCATAACGCAAAACTGTTTTTTCATAGCCTAAAAAGGGCAGTTATTATTTAACAATCACTCTTTATTATTAATTATTTAGTTATTGGTTATTATTTAGCAATTATTTAAATGTTATGTAGAGAGCACCTCAAGGGAGAAGATCGTCCTAGACGAGTTAAACGAAATCATTCCTTTCTGTGAAACATTCCATTATCTTTTGGCTAAGGGGCTGTTTATATGGAGCGAGCCAACCCGGTAAGCGGGCTAGCCCGCTTGGCCGAGATGAATTTTGGATTGCGTTTATATGGGAAAATTCAGCCCGCTTACCGGGATGAAATCAGTCATGTGATCATCCAGCCTCGTTAGCATACGAACTCGTCCCGCGAAAATCAAAAAAAGAACATGGCGGCATGCGCAGTAGGATCAAATCCAGCCCGCTTACCGGGATGGCTCGTTTATATGGGAATTTTTCCATCCCGCTTGCCGAGATCTCGGCACCGCCCAACCGAGATCTCGGTAAGCGGGCCAGCCCGTCTCCCCATATAAACACAAAGCATTTTTTACAACGAAAAGAGGCCGAGCCGAGATATCGGCCAAGCGGGCTAGCCCGCTTACCGGGCTGGCTCGCCTCCATATAAACAGCCCCTAACATTGCAAACTTCTTCAGTTGTACTAGGCCTCTGTGCAAGATACAGGCAACCCAGTGAAAACCTGACTATCGGCCCTCGTTTCAGCTGATTGGGTTTCCTGTGGTTTTTGGTAACATCTCGCGTATCTCCTAGAGTTGCTAGGTCGTTCTCGATATAAACTTCTAACCACAAGCCTACCATAAACTGCATCCCCCACCAGAACTATGGCTCTAGTAATGATCACAGCTATAGCCCTTCTGGCAGTCATATTCATGGCTTCATTTGTTGGGCTGATGGTAATTTGCAAGCACAAGTGTGGAAAACTCGATTTCACGGCTCAACGAAGCGAAGCAGGATATCCCAAGAGAGTTTCAAAGTGAGCACACTAGCATAATATTACTTATCTCTTAAGTTTAGACAAAGAAACAATTACAAAGTTTTACAAGCGTAGTGTAGAACGTAATAATATTACTTCCATAAAGTATCCCTCGGAATACCTATACAGTGTTGATACATCAGCAGCACGTAATGTTGGCTTCTTTGACATGTTGGAGTGTATTGTTACAAGGCTTGAGGTATCCATGACTTCAGTTTGACAAAAAGAGAAGCTCAAATCGCATCACAATTTTAATAAGTGGACACTTTTTCGCGTAGTTCTTTTTGAAAAAAAAAATTGTTTTAGTTGAGCTTAACAATCAGACCCGCAGCCCGAATGGTCTACGAGTCAGTAGCCCATGGGTCAAGGTCTCACGTTTTGAGAGCTAGAGGTCTGTTTTAGTATAAATCTACTAATTGGTCAAATAAATGGATACAAACGATTTGGAAAATGGTTTATCACTAATTACCGCCATTTGCATTGCTACTCGGCCACCCCAGACAAAAATCGCGATGTGCACTTTGCAATAGACTGCTGTCAATCAAACATGTTGACATCATTTGCACGTGTGATTCAAAAGGCGCCAAAACTTGTAGATTGTTTACAAGTATTATGAGCCACACTCACCGGGCCTATCCGGTCCTATATCCAAACGTATGTAAATGACGTTAACGTGTTTGATTGACGGCAGTCTATTGCAATTTGCAACTTTAAGGTATTAGGATACGAAAAATGACGATTTGCTCGAAAAAATTTTTTTTTTTGAAATTTCGTTACTTTAAATTTTTGTCTTTCATATGTTTGTGAAATTTCTTGCAATTTTTGATTGGAAAAGCCAAAATTTTGAGGCAAATCAAAATCGTGACTTTATAAAGACCGGAAATGTCCCGTCGTTTGCAATAACGTAGAGTCCAAATGCTCCTTTGTCCTTGTAAAAAGATCCTACATTGCGATCGTCCAGAACAACAGATAATTTGACAAGTGATGACAAAATGGAAGGCTCAAGGTGTTTTGGCCAATACCATCGTGGCTCCCTGCAGCTTCCGGCTCCAAACAAAGAAATGTATTTTTCTCGAATTTTTTTTGCCGCTAAAACCTCAACTTCAAAAAGCTAAAAGTCCCTTGGATTTCATTCGATTTTTCTAAAATTTGGACAGTTTATAAAGTAACTCATGATACAAAAAAGGGTGTCTCCAATTTTTGAAATTTGATTTCTTTCCAAAGTTATGACGCTTTTTACTCTAAACAACACTCCAAAAGCAATCGTCGAACTTTGATCAAAAATAGCGAGAGATATAAAACAGATATCAAAAATCTGGGACACCCTTTTGAGCTTATTATCTCCTGAGTATGTTAAGACATTTTTCGCAAACATAGCTTAAAATGTAAGTGTCCATTAACGTTTTCACTGAGGCATAGTCAAATTTCGCTTCGAGGACAATAATGTGAACAACAATTTAAAAAATCGTATTTTGAAGATGTCTTCATAAACTATATTTACTCAGCTTTCAGAAAATGTATACTTTGTTTGTGTTATACTATAAAGCCAGCGCATTATTTAAGTTTGCGCGCATAGTGGTCGTAAACGTATCCTAATACCTTAAGGGCACATCACGATTTTTGTCTGGGGTGGCTGCGTAGCAATGCAAATGGTGGTAATAGCCCACTAGTAGCTCAGCCAATGGGAGCGCAGGATTTGTGATAGACCATTAGCAAGTTTATACTAACTACAAATATACAGCAACTCTTGCCTAACGATCCCTTAATTACATACTTATGGCAGATTTGTTTCGTTTCATTCTTGTTAACTCTTGAATATTATCATCCTAGCAAAAAGCAGGTGGAACTCATTGGTGCTAATTTTAACATAAATGCAGACTTTGGACGTTGTCTTTCCAATGAAGATCTGGTGAGCATATATGTACATATTAAACGGTATATCTACAAACTCTGTAATTTTTTGACTGAGCCCCCTCCCCCTAGAATTTCCAATTCCCTCCAGGGGTGGGGCATGGATATTTTCTAGAACTACACTATTGACCATTAAAAGGGTCAGGTGGCCTACTTCCATACCACTTTAATTCTTTGTCTTCCATGGTATAATACAAGCTGATCTGAAATAGTGACGTAGGAATGAGGTCACTGCAAAACTGGGGTAGACTGCAAGTGGTCCCACTTTTCCCTTGAGACTCATTAAAAACAAGTGGTTTGGGATTGCTGTGGATGTGCTTACTCGGCTTCAAACTACGCGCCCTCAGGAATCCCAAAACACTCACCCCAGAGTTTACAAGGAAAAATGGGACATTTCTCAGTCTAAAACTGAGGTCTCCTGTAGCCTGTAAATAATTGCCTGTAAATAATTGCCTGTAAATAATTGCCTGCAAAAAACAAAAACCTGTCCACCATTGCAATAAGAATGTAAATCTCATTAGTTATTGTGTTTACTGTGCATCAACCTCTTATTAGCAACCTTTTTTCTTATTTGGTGGCCTGGAAATACATGATTTCAAGAGGAAAAGTGACACCTCAGTTTTGCAAATTTTCTCAATGTTGATTGGCTTATATTTTTTCTCAGATCAGCAGGTTATAGTGAACATGCACAATTCTAAATGGATAAGATACTAACTATGATAATTGTGTTTTTCCTCATTCATTAAGTCTGGAATTTTTCTGGATCCTGATTGGCAAGGAGATGCAGAGTAAGTCAATATATCCTATTTTTTGGCTTTTCTTATTTTTGGGCTTCCTGTGAGCCACTAGGAAAATTATAAAACATGTTATCCATAAATCACTAGCAAGTATCCTAAGCAAGGTGGATGCAGGATTTTAAGGGAAACAAGATGATCAGCTTTACAAAGGGGGGGGGGGGGGTTCAATTCAAGGCCTTAGTGCAAAGGGTCAGTGGTTCAAGCCCTGTGTGCAGAGCATAGCAAGTGAGTCAAGTTTGGTTCTATGTGTTGTTCTCTCTCGTGTTACACAGAGGGGAGGGTCCTAAGTAAAGATTTCAACTTTTTTGGTTGGTCAAACCTTTTTATTTTGAAAAAAGATAGTTCCAGACTTAATAGGAGCGTTAGAATTTCTTACTGAGTGAAAGTAGGGCTACAACCATGTTCAAAAATTTTTTTTGCAAATCCTCCTGCCCTCCCCCCCCCCCCCCCCCCCCCCCCTAATGAAAAACATACCATCCCTAAATTCCTTGATTCAAGTGTTTAATAAATTGTTTGTTAAATTTTTTCATTTGTAGAAGACTCATTGGTCACTGTGTGGAACTTCTAAAGGTAAATGCACTTTACTGCAGTTTTCAATTTTCTCTGAACTCCAACATTGCAACTTGTTGCGCAATTGTCTTTTACTGCCGCAGTAAATTTTATAAAAGGTACGGAAAAATATAATTTCAGCATGCAGCTTGAAGCTAGAATATTGAAAACCCCAGTTAACTGGTAATAGTTTAACCATTAGCACCCCAAGCCATCTATTGGCTACATGTTAATCATTTGTCAACCATTTGTCGCTCATTATCTGTAGTATAGCAATGATGACCTGTCAACTAACTGCTGATAATCTGCCAACCAACAGTCAGCCAGCAGTTGGTTTGGGGAGCTAATAGTCACTATTACCCAGTAAACCCGAACAATGTTAATTAAAAATTCTTATTTTTTCATCTGGATGTCCAATGAAACACTCTCATGTTTAAATTGCTGACATAATAAATGCAAGGAAAGCTCCATGTTCAAAATTTTTGATTCTCCATGTTCAATTCAAAGGCAAACTCGAACTATTTTTGAGCAATACTGTATAACTTTTTACTTGTTCATAATCAGACATGCCATGAATTGACTGAAAAACTGGTAGCGTATACAGTAGAGAATGGACCCAAGATAAAATCCCAGGATGGCATGAAGCAGATAATGGCATCAGCAAGACATATTGGTCCAAAGTAAGATTCCTTTAAATTCATTTTCACTTACCTCTACCCCACAATTCAGTTTTAAAATTTTTAGCAATGAAAAATTGCATGGTCTGTCAAAGTCAAAGTCTGCAAAATTCAACTTCTAAATTCTAATTTGATCTAGAAAGGGCCTGGATGAAAAATTACTCTGTGTTATTCTAGTAACCCTACCAAATTGTGTAGTGTCATGACAATTGTGCAGCATTTTTTTGCTCTAAAAAAAATTTTAAGAGTTAAAGTGTCCTGAGAGTGGGAAGTTTTGGATACAAGAATTGAAATTTTACAGTTAATAAAGTCAAGGCTTTTGGGTACATTTGCAGGGTTGATGAATTGGTGGAAGCCATGTACACTCCCTCAGACTCCAGACAAATTGAGGAAAAGTTAGTATAGTTTTTTTTGTAATTGTCATCATGATGTCATACGTTACTTACAGCTCTTATGCTGCGTGGGACCTCATTAACTTTTCCCTCTCGTACAGACGGGATACACCCGTATGAACAGATCCCACGTGTACAAGCTGATCCCATGCACGGAGTCCATGCGCGACACACACAGTTGACCCTTAAAAACTTCTGGCAGGCTGTACTGTACAAACACATGTGTAGATGTTTTAAATTTGTTGCAGACACTTGGCACAGTCTGATTCATTGTGTAACCATTTGTCCTTTAAAAACATATATAGAGGTTTTATATTATTTTACTGGTAAAGAGGTCTGGATAGGAAAAAACTGTGTCCAAGTTTTTAAGGCCATTAGGGTAAGGTTCTGTCTTCAAGGCCAAGGGCAAAGTTTTCCCATATCCACCCAGACTATAGGCCGGTAAATAACTCATTTATTTGTTTTCCCCATTTAGTTTTTATCTTGTTTTGGAATTTTTTGTCATTTAGCAATCCTTTATCCCAGGATACTGGACCTTGGTCAGAGATAAAAAATACTGCCTCCTCACCCAGCCAATCAGAACACATGATTTTTAGGATACAAGTCTGGAAACAATTAATTTATGTAATAAATAAATTTTCTCTTTTTCAGGTCAAGTGCTCTATACCTTGCAGTACACCTATTGCTACAGGTTGGAGTTGTTTTATACCTAACAGTCAATAAATTGTCACTCCTATCTAGATAGTTTGACTTTGGTTATGTGCATTTATCAATATTTGAGTTGAGAGTTGTATGCATGGATTATTCAATGAGGTGATAATGTGTGTGTGACAGTAGACCAAATTGAAAACCAGTATGTATATAGTTGATTTATATCCTGCTATAAAAAAGTGATATATACTCGAGTGTGATTCCATACTTTGCAGTATGTCCCTACTTACTTACTTGTATCAGCTTCCCATGGGCTAATTTTTTAGTGGTAGCATCATATTTTAATAAAATTAATAATAATACTTAATAATATTTATATTAATATAATAATTAATAATAATTAATGAGAAATGAATGAATAAATGAATGAATAAATAATATTTATGTATATTATCATAATAATAATACTAAACAATATTATTATTTTTTAATAACACAATGTTATTTCATTCGTTCCAATTTTTGTTGTTTGTGGTAGCATCATATTTTAATAACTAATAATAAATTAATACCAGTATTAATATAGCATTTAATAATATTTAATAATAACTTAATCATAATAATATTAATTTAATGATAAATAAATGAATAAAAATAGTAATTAATATTAATTAACATAATAATAATATTAAACAATAATATTAATCTTTTATTAATAATACTTATTTTTTGGTACTTCCTGTTTCTAGGTGATCAAAAGCGTATCTGATCAACCAGAGCAGTTACATTGGGCAGATGATGTTATTCACTTGATTGAGCAACATATTGAGGAAATGAGGAGAGACAGTCAGCCTGACCCAAATCTACTTGAAGCTGTTGGTAATGCATGTCGTAAAAATGAGCCAGTGACTGGTAGCAAACAAAGTCGGTGTTTTGTAAACAGGACCTTCCTTGCATAAACAACTATTAATTATTGTGATATGTAGCTCGTATAGAAAATGTACAGAAATAATCAAATATGACATATAATTTTATTGATTTTTTTTTTTTTCCTAAAAATTTTAAAATTATTTTGGTATTCTATGCATGTTCATGTGTAAATTAAATGCAATACTGTATGCTAGAATTTTAAATTTCAATTTTATTCATTTCTAAATTATATATTACAATATAATCTATTTGGAGTTTAAAGCATGCTTAGAATGTTCTCTATTAGAGACTAAATTGATTAAAATGATAAATCTAAAATCAAGAAAAACGTAAAGTTGACCTAATTTTTTCACACTTTACACACTTTTCATGATCAAAAAGCAGATTGCTGAATAGAAAGAGGCAGGATAAAGTGTAAAAGAACAGATTCCTAAACAAAACATGGCTGTAGGGAAATATATATATATATAACTATGTGTAATAAATACATAATTTACCTTTGGTGTGTATAAATTGCCACTTTTGAGCATGCAAAATGTGGGTATACAAACATGTGCTTGAATTTTTACATTGCCACTTGATGTACATGTAGTGCACAGGTTTTTGGTAGGGTATGACCCTAAAATATTGTGCATCCACATCATATCCTCATAAGTAGACTGTGTCATCAAGGAATTGCTGCAATATGCGACATGCAATATGTGGTATATGTTTGTATTGTTTTGATGTCCTTCTCAATGAAGTCCTCTACAGTACAACATGTCAGCAACTGCTTTACAAACCCTATTATTTTATTCTCACATTCATCTACTTGAAGTGCATCCCAGCAGATTAATGCTCTTTTTCTTATCCATGCCATCCAGTTTCTCCCTGCTGTTGTCCACTCTCTGTCATCCAAATATAACGATGTCAAACATTTGCATCACTTCCAATTGGCCGCATTTACCTCGATGAAATGTTCCTCAATGTAATTCAGTTTCTTATTGTCATCACATGCTCAAGCTACTTGGCTTGCGTTCCAGCAAAAATGCTTATCATTGTTCAATTCATCCAGTTTCTTCATGTCATCTTCAGAAAGAGTGAAGTCAAATAACTGTATATTTTCTTTTATGTGTTGAGCATTGGTTGACTTTGGAATCACCCCTAATAACAATAAACAGTATTAATTGAATCATAGATTCATCAATTATAATTTTTTAGTTAACAAATAAAACAGCTTTTCCATGCTCTGTTCAGTAATAAAGCACACAGGAAGTGGCGTAAGCAGGAAAGAAGTGTAAGGAGAAGACCGAGCTGTAGATGAGTGCTTCTCACACTAGTACTTCAGTGCTTACTGAAGTTACTCATGAATAGAGCACGGGAAAAGCTGTTTTATTTGTCTTATTATATACACACAGCTATTTTTTTCAGTATATTTTGAATTATTTATGCGAAAAGACAGTCACAGGAACTAGCAGCATCTAAATGTACTATCCTAACTATATAATAAATTAATATGGAATTACAGAATGGAAAACTAGTTGAACTTTTTTCAACTATGTTTCACAATCAAAGCATTGTTGATGATAGCAACAACATTAATAAGGAAAGATATTTTCTGGCTGCAAACACAATGCTCTTGACAACAACATTGCAGGAATGAATCTCCATGACAAAATTCATAATCCTAAATATTGCAAAAGCCAATATCGAATTTCACTTCTGCAACCTTGCACAAGACTGTTGCAGTGTGTGCCTGGAGCTTACAGTGAGAAAACTTGAACTGCAGACACTGGGTTTTTTGTCACCTTTTTGAATGCTTCATTTTAGAGGGTTTGAACATAGTTAACGGAGGGGAATGGTTTGAAACAGTAGAAATTATAAGTAATAACCTGAAAAAACTTTAAGTGTTCTGCAATGGTTTGTCAGAGTGTCCTCCCTGAAAGGGGATTAGCTAGATAAATTACAGTATCTCTCTCCCACTTTGTTTTAGCCTTGAAAGTACTTGAAACACTCACCTACTCCATGTTGCAAGCCCCATTTGAGTAAGACTTGCGCTGGTGATATGCTATATCTTTTAGTAATGTCATTCACCACTGGTTCTTCAAGAATCTTAGAAATGTAAACATTTAGATAGGTAAATCGTTTTCATGATTGTTTAACAAAGTTGAAACAATGCAGACTTATGGAAGCTGAGCACAAACTGATTGGTTATTGCAGTTTTCCATATTCTGTGAACTCTGTAGTTGCAAGCTTCAGCTGCACACTGAAATTTGGGTTTTCACTGCCGTCAATCAAAAATAATCAGTTGGTGCCTTATGTTCTTGACTGGTGATAGTTACAAACCAAAATTCATGACAAGCTGTTGAAATGTCTGAGTTTGCAGAATATCAAAAAACGCAGTAAACCTAATTAGTTGGTGGTTTATACAACAGGTCTTTATTATTAATAAGCACACAATATTATGGAGTACCTTGCCTTGTCCTAGTGAAGTATAAGCTTGTAACCAAATGTTGTTTTGATTACAAAAATCCAGCAAGTCCTTTTGGTACAGCAAGGGATGAAACTCTACCTGGAAAACCAATAAATATCTTACTTTTCCTTACTCAATTCTCTAGCCAGGTCATATTACCTTAGATGGAGTTTGAACTTTGGAAAATTATACAATGCATCGCATCTTCATATCAGTAATCGTGTACTTCATGACCAGCCAACAGGTGTTGGACGACTATTGCCTGACTGTTGACCAACACTTGCCCAACACTGGCTGTTGGTCAACAAACCGCCGATAGTCGGCCAACGCTCGATCAACACATGGCCAATAGTCAGGCGACTGCCGACCAATAGTCGGGCGATAATCGACCAACATGTGTCAACTGGTCATGAAGTACACGATTACCCTTCATATCTAAGTATACAGTATATATAGTGCTTGATTATGGTTGTTATGGTTTCAAATAAACGAATGGGAATTAACAGTATTTCCAGAGAGTGGCTCTTCTTCCACTGGATTCAATTGTCATTTAGAAGTTTGTGAAGAGAGGAAAAACCAGAGAACAAAAAAAAAAATTATTGTACAATATGTAGAATAAGTTCTTACTGTACCTGTAGCAAAGTGGGAGGATGTGCTGCAAATGCCAGTAACTCTTCAAGATGACTTGTAGTGTAATTTGAAACACCAATTGCTTTAACAAGCCCTTGGAAATAATATTGAAAATTATACTTGTGTGTTATTATACTCTGACTTTTTGAGACTTGAGCCCAGAGGTCAATAAAATTGATCCATGATCTGGTTGTGCAGTTAAAACACTGCATGCATTTAAGCCTTTTCTAAGCTTGATGAACAATATGCATTGTGGTCTAGCTTTGGTACAAACAACACCATAGGCAAGATGAACAAAAGATGAACAAAAGATGTTTGTACCAAAGCTGTCCAGCTGATCTGAAACAGTAACGATAGAAATGACGTCACTGAATTTAAACTAAGGTGTTATGAAGCCTGTGAAAAATAACCACAACCAAAAATAAAAACATGCCTGCCATTGGTACAAAAATATAAAACCCATAAATTATTGTGTCAAGTCCACTGTTATCAAGCACATATTAGCAACGTTCATTTTTTGTGACACCTCAGTTTTGCAAATTTTCTTGATCTGTTCAGCTGAAATTTGTTCTTAGATCAGCTGGATTCCACAAAATTTTCACCATGTTCGGTATCTTAGAAAAGGTATATCATTTATCAATCACCTGATTGTTTGAGGTCTTCCAGTGCTCTCCAGCTTTCTGCTCTGAGTTTTGCATTCATTGGGTCTTCACTTTTAAGCTTCTGTGCTCCAGGCCAGTGTATCAAATACATATCCAAGTAACCACAATCAAGGTCTTGGATGGATTTTTCACATGCCATCTTTGCATTCTCAAATCCATGACTTTTTGGGCCTAATTGGTCATATATGTATTAAATAAACACATCATTTAATATTTCAATACAGACTTTTATAAAACCAAAATAAAATATAAAGCAGGACTAAGAATGTAATGTCTTTCCTACCAAGTTTGCTGGTTATAAAAAGATCTTGTCTTGAGAGTCCATACTTTGGACAAAGTGTTTTCAAGGCTTTTCCAATGTCAGCCTCATTTCGATAAACAGATGCAGTATCTAGGAAAGACAATAAAACATTTATTGCTTTAGCATTACTATACTTTGTGAATCACACAGTAAATGCAAGCCAGTGAGTTAAATTTTGCAAACAGACTCTTACCTATAAGTCTATATCCACAACCAAGAGCATGGTCTAATGTTTGGTGTACCAGATCATCTTCACCAGTTGAGCGTAGTTGATATGTACCAACTGCCAATCAAATATAAATACCATGAAATGCAATATCAGTGAATCACATATATAGCATCAAAGTAGGTACAGTACTAAAATATTTGATATATAAGTATAGTATTATAAACACTAGTAGGGATAAGGCCAGGACTTGCCATTGGGGGGAGGGGGAGGGGTAATTCCACAGTAACCTCAAAAAAATACCCCCCTGACCCCTCTCCAAAACACACTAGTTACAGTATGCAATACCAGTAACAATATGCATTTCCAGGACTTGCCATTGACGGGTTGCAAGCATTCCCAAGAGAGACAAGACACAAAAACATTGCAGCCATCTTGGTGCAATTAACAATGACTGACTGCTAATGAGAATTCATTCGTTGAGTAGCACCAATATGGTCGTGATGATGTAGGGTGCAATGGAAGAATTGAGGGGGGAGGGGGGAGGGGGGTATATATAACTCCACATTTAACTAGCCTTGACAAAATATCCCTTCATACCCTTCTCAAAACACAATACAAATATGTATTTTACAAATGAAATGCCAATAAAAACATAGGCCACAGGCCTTTTGGACCCAGTAGATACGTCTCGACTTACAAGATTAAAATCCTTAAAGAGTTTGCTGAATTAAAAAATAATCAAAGTAAACTGCCCCATTCATTTTTCCTCCCTCGAGTGTTGAATATCTTATCTATCTTTACGTTTTTAAATGCTTTTTTCAACGACGCAAGCGTCATAGATATAGCATTATCCTTGCACACAAATGCTAAGAAGTCTTTAGCCAAAGAAGAAACTTGTGCCAGGTGAAAGAAACCGGTCCAAATAGAGCGAATAATTTGTAGTTTAATTAAAAAAATCTATTACAATTTAACACTTACGGCCTACCAAAGGAATAGAAACCCCAGATTTCAGCAAGTGACAGAACATATGCTTGATAAATGATAAAAAATATCCTCTAATAAAAAAAGTTCTTTAAAAAAAGTTTGAAACTCTGCTACGCATGCGCATTGCTTGTAACCTGAGCCCAAATTCCGATGACCCAGCGGTTGCTCAACCAAGCGGGAAACTCGAAGACAGTGAATGACAGGAAAGTTTAACAGTTGAACAAGAAAAAGAACACCAAAAAAACCTTGTTTAAAACGACTTCAAGACTACCATTCCACTTATTGTGATATGAGGTATGTACTATAAAGCTTATTAACTATGAATATTAAAGAAAAATTCAAAAAGGGGAATTAAAATCTCGCCTGTTAGGTGGCTTTATTGTGTTGTTTGACAACGGAATGTTTTGAAATTATAACAACAAAATTCTCTTTTTAAAGATTTCTGGCCAGTGATCTCTTTTAGAATGCATTTTTAGCTTTTGATGACGTTTGACTTCGATTTGAGGTGTCGTGGAGGGAGGATTCTCGTGATTTCAAGTGGCTTTGTATTTAATTTTTCTTCTTTCTCACATGCGGAACATGTGCATTAGAATGAACACTTGTCAAAAACTAGTACAATGTACAAGTGTGGCTCTTTATTCAAATCACAGCTATAATTAAACTTACTAAATCTCGTAAAATACACAAACAGATAAATCCTTGAGGTCAAATTAATATTTAAAAATGAGTTTTTTAAAGCTTATTTTTTTATGTTCATGCTATAAGACAGGGAAGTTCTTAGAATCCATTTTCTTGTTACGACGCAGGAAATAGCGATCATAAAAAGAGCCGAATCAGGAATATTATTTTTATTGATGATGATTAACATTGGAAAACAATATAGATAACTGACCTTTAACGTTATTCTGTCTTAAAAAGGCCGAGAAATGGTCATTAATGGCTATTCCCGATCGTTCAAGCGTACTAGTTTTACACCTTTTTGTTTTGGTAGCTAATTAGTTCCAAGGACGTTTTTATCTAAATTGCAATACGTTATAATGGAAGTGATATCACCAGGATTGATAAACTTCCTATAGAAAGTGGAAAAGTACACAAAAACAATAAAAAAATACGGGAAAATCATTTGAGGAAGTCTTTTTTTCGTTTGTTGTTTTAGAATTGATTTCCTTTGTAATTAAATCTATAATAAACTCAATATTATATGTATAGCTAAATAAATATTATGTTTTTCTGGAATCAAAGTACTCATGATCATGACAGCTTTAATCAACATACTCCTTTTATAATTCTTATGGCTAATTTATATATTCTGATGAAAAAAAAGAAAACCTTTGAATTAGGAGAAACAGTAAAAAATGGTACAAAATAAAGAAAGCATACAAGAATTCAAATGAATTGAATTTTCAAATAAATATTTCAAGTGAGAATGGACCGTTTACATGGAGCCATATTTAAAAACTAAAATTCCCATTTATTAATTTGATAAGCATTTAATTATACTGTAGTTCTGGTTCTCAAATCCTAAATAATATTAATTCATTGCTTATTTTCTCTTGAAATAATTGTTGAATTATCTTTGCAGGACTTATTAAAATTTATAATAATTAGTATATGAAGCTGAGAAAAATGTTTTACGGGTTTTTTAAATATATGCGTAGCTTTAAGGCATTTTTCCACTGAAATCTTTTTTCGTCTTTTTTTACAGGAAAAAATCACCCCTCAATAATGCCAAAAAGAAAGAGAAAAGAACATACTTGTAAAGACCTTAAACAAAGGTCAAAGAACAGTAAGACAAAAAACACTAGCAATGGTGATTGTGGTTCTGAGGAGGATGATGGAAGTATATGGGTTCAGTGTGAGAAGAAAAACTGCTTGAAATGGAGAAAAATTACTCCAGAAGAGCTGGGAAAGGTACATAAAAAATCTCTTGAATTTTTTGAGGGATAATCTATGATTCTAAATTTGGCCTTTACATTCCTGAAGAAAATTATTTTCAGAATCTATAATTTTGAGGAAGTTCTCACTGGTAGAATGGGAAGTCCTAGTGAAACTTGATATCACTATTATTCCGCAATAATTACAAGAGTGGTGCCCACAGCCCAACAGGGTCAAACGGAAAGCAATGAAAAGGCCCCTCTGGCACAGCTCTTACACAGTTTATGTTAAATGACCCTGGAGCACAGCCCTAACTAATTTGAAATTAGTTTAGGTTTGAATTGAGTTGGTTTGAAAGGAGGGAGGAAAAACCAGAGAGTAGAAAAAACTTCGATGTCAAAAAGAAAACCATTTAACTCAGCTCACATCAGGGGCAACTCATGACTAGTACACTAAATATTCCCCACTGGGCTCTATTCTTTCAGTTTCCATATATGAGATTTGAGTATTAAGTTTGAACAATGAAAATGCTTGATTTTGATATTCCTTAGGTTGGTGATGGATCTTGGTACTGTTCAATGAACTGGGATCCTCATTTCAACAGATGTTCAGCTCCTGAAAGAATAGATAAATTACCAAAACACATGAAATACATCTATAGTTTGTTGCCAAAGGCCGAAATAGTTATGGCAAGAATACCCGGATACCCATTGTAAGTACAACTAAATTAAATGAAGATGGTTTTATAATTATTATTATAATCATTGTTCTATAAATGTACAAATGAAAGAAAAGATATGCATATCCTATTTTGAGCAATAGTTTATATTTTTATTGGCTATTATACTAGCCTAACTGTATTAATTTTCAAATCAACCTGCAAGTGCCGATATATGATTTTAATAGGAACTGATCTGTGTGGTGTTATATTCTTACATGCACCAGGCTACATGCAAACTAAATGATCTATAGTGGGTCAGAGCAAAGGGTCTATATGCTATATCCTTCATGAATTATCTCTAATAGTCATTTGGTTATCATGCACATTTGATACAACATATCTCTCAATCCTATTCAGAGAATAACTCATGTGGTGTCGAGCAATCCAAGCTCAATTTCAAGTTTATCCTGTAGAGGTTTTAGAAGCCTGCAAGGCCTAATGGTGAGACTACTCACTTTGCACACTTATTGACCTGCAGTGTGTTAATTCCTGAACTCAGTCACAGTATGCAAGCAGAGTTTCTTGAGCTTCAGATTACTCCAGTTTTTCTCCCTCAGCAAAATTAACAGCTCTAGCTTTCAACTGGATCCAGATAATGAAGGATCTGAAGAATAATTTCTTACTTTTTAATTTAGATGGCCAGGGATTCTCACTCCTGATCCAACATGTGGAGAGTATTATGATGCTCTACTAGAAAAACAAGACCAACCCATACAATACCATGTAGAGTTCCTGGGAAAACCCCATTCACGAGCGTGGGTCAGACCCAAAATGGTTCATCCATATAATTCAATAACAGAAGATGAAAAGTTGATGCCATTACAGAAAGGTTCATCCAAGTTATTATCTTCCTATCGAACTGCACTGGATGAAGCTAAAAGGTTATTGTCTGTCAGCAGTGCATCTGAACGACTTAGGCTTTCTTGTCAGTTCAAGTACGAAGAAATTGACAGAGACTCAGGTATGGCAGAATAAAATTCATTAAATTCCTATTGAATGACATCAACATGTATTTTTGAGAAAAATTGATGCACATACATCTTTATCTACGATTACATGCAATATGCCATGCTATGAAATGTTCTTGAGCTATCTAGTCTAACATTACCCCCAGAGTCAGTCTTTTTTTTTTGCTTCTATCTATTGATCTTGAAAAAAAAAAAAAATACAATTATGCTAATTGTGGAAAAAGTAAATGGTAGGAGCTAAAAGTACCAAAAAATATACAGGGGTTATTCTGGATTGCAGTGATGTAGGTCATACATGAAAAAAATTTCTGCAATTTCTCTACAGATAAATCTGGTTCAAAGAAGAAAACAGTAGAGCTGAGTCATTCTCCAGTGGTCCAGCCAAAAGAAAAAGTAGATTATCCAACTGATAGTTACTCTGACTTTGATGACTACCTGTCTTCACCTGATGAGCAGCAACCTGATGAGTCAACAAAATCATCATCAACACTGCCTCACTTAACCCGATTGGAGAAAAAGAAGAAAAACCTGCCTAACAGGGTTGTAAGTGGAGCTGCAGTGGATAACCATCTTTTTATAGTACCATGGGGAGCATACCATACGAGGGTGGCATAGGAAAAGTGTACAGTTAGTTACCCACCTTTCGGGTCTCAGGTTTGAATCAGTGGAGCTCTCAGCACAAAAGATTTGAGTAGAGTTTGATTTGAAGTTTTTTCTCAAGGTTTTCCAATTTTCCTCAAGGTTTTCCATTTTTCTCACTCTGCCTATCATGCTAGTAAGTTCCAATCAATCTGGGAGTTAGCTCAGCCCTGACTTTGATCAGCCCACCGGCCAGTTGTTTTTAGAGTATTGATAATTTTTTGGGGTAGTGATAGTGAACCATGCATGACAGCACTGCATTACCAACACAATCTTTGATTGATGCTAAGACTTTGGTCCTGTGAGTGAAGTCAAAGATTTTATAAAACATTGGTGTGTGTATCTGATTAGGCATTTTTGCTAATAGTTGTATTTTAACCTTAGGAAAACCAGCTTGAACCTGCAGAGAAAGAGTTCCTTAATTCATTAAAAGAAATTCTTGCACAGAAAGGTCTGCCTCCTCCAAGGCAGCCCAAGTGGAAGGGACAACATATCAGCCTTCTGACGTTCTACACAGCTGTCCAGCAACGAGGAGGCTTTGAAAGTGTAAGTACTTGCTAAAAATCAATACAGCAAATCAAGATATGCAGGATTAATCAAACTGTAAATACTAGAAAACACAACTGCCTCATTGATCTTTTTAACATTAAATTGTCTCACAAAATTAATAAAATTGAATCGTAAATGCCTATTAATAAAAGCATGTTTTGTTCTCTAGGTTTGTACGTCTAAATCATGGATTCATATCTACAGCAACCTAGTAAATCAAGATAACACTACTGCTGCGATGGGGAATAAAGCAAGGCTGTTTTATCAGAGGTTTGTAAAATTGATTACTGATCCAGAAAATGTCCACACATCTCCCAAAGAGGGCGAGGGTTGCGTTTGGAGTGACTTCCAGAGGGCTGGTGAAGATGTCCTCTGCAACCCAGGAGTAAAATCCTGTTGCTTTGTTCTTGTATATTTATGTAATTTCTCTAGCGATTTTCTAAGAGGGGGAGGGGTCTCCCTTGAGGGAGAATGGCTGAACCTCTTGCTGCAAAGTTTTAGAGTTTATGTCTAATAGTGCCCTTCACAGTTCCCTGCGCCATCTTGAAAGGTAGCTGTGCCTTTGCATAGAAGCGAGATGAAGGGTGAGCTTGCAATGATAGAGACGTGAATGATTGTTCAAGGTGTTAAAAAAAGGTCTCTATCATTGTAAGGTCATTGTTCGTCTTGCTGCGATGCAACTGATGGAACTGTTAAGGGAACTATTGTCAACTAAGATGTAAAATAATTGTCATTTGCAACTTATATTTTAGACATTTGTTACCTTATGAAGTCCATATGAAAAGCCTTCAGACAAATGGTAAGTTAAGAAAGTAATGGAGTTTAACATAACAAATTTGCTATGAGGGGTAGGGATTCCTTCCTTGCTTCCTTTCCCTCCTTTTTCATTCCTTCCATCCATTCTTCCTTTCCATCAATTCTTTCATAATATGTGCATACGAAAGTTAAATACAGTAAATAGCATTCATTTATTATGAATACAAATACAGATAACCGCGGCAATTAGAAACCTAAGAGATTAGCTTGAGATACCTGTGTTGCAACCGACCGAACCGCCTTCTGTGTGGTGTTCAAAATAGTATCACAGGACGCTCCAAACGGCATCAAAATTAGTACGCGCTTTTCACCAAAATTTGCTGAAGTTAACTCATAAGAGAAGCAATAACTTGTTTGTGGCACGACATCTCGCGATTGGAAAACTTGCAGTCTCCATATTCTAGTTCATGTGACTTGCAATGATTAGTGCATCGATTAGCACCCGGTAGCACCGACTAGCCTCCTATGTTCTCAGGGTTGTCACGACGTCACGCAACTTCTCTCTTTTCCCACACATTGGGTCACGGACGACCATAAGAGCACGTAGAAGACTATGCACCAACCCGACAGCTAATAGAATAATAATGGCTCAAGCAAACTTTTATGAAATAACAGAACCAGAAAACAGGCAAATGATCGATACATTCGGCATGGAAATAGAACTAACTACCTTTAAGAGTAACATAAAAGAACCGGTCGGCGAGGCGACACCCGACGAGTCACAAGACCCGGAACCCTCGATGAGACCGGAAGTTCAAAACCTGGGTATTATTTGTGCAGGCAATGACTCGAACAACTGGGATAAAATAGTTTACATCAAGCACTATTTGAACGAAAAACCTCAGTTGAGTGACAGCCATCGGACTATTGGTGTGGGATCAGCTTCAAAGAATCTTCACTCTCCTGATTATTCATCCCCAGATAAAGCACTCAAACTGCGATTCGTTGTGATTGGTGAATATGTATTTGATAGGATGGTCAAAGCTTTCGTGAATCATGCACTCAGTGCGACTGAGATCATTGGAGTGATGGTTTTCTGGGGACCGAAGAACCCTAGCTCTCTTGACAATGCGGTAGAATGGAAAAACAGAATCCAGGAAGTGTTACCAGCGGAAATACAAGACCACCCCCCCTTCGTCTTAATCACTGACAATATTTCTTCTGTGGAGTGGATCGGTAGTGGGAAAATCATGGAAAGTGTAGAAGCGATGGACATATTTTGTAAGGATAACGGGTTTGCCAAGTGGTTTGAAATACTGAAGAGTGACTGGAGACTTGGAGAGCAGAATGAGATTGGCAGGCCGATTGATTGGCTTCTAAGACAGGCCCTTGATGTAAAACAGTCAAGTGTTTGACACGGAGCAGAATCGAGTGTTACACTGGACATTTAAAAGTTCAAAGCTCCTAATAATGTTGGTGATGATGATATAAACATAGTTCTCAAAATAATCATAATAGTGGTGATGATAATAATACTGTGATAGTGACGGGGTGTACTGAATGCGCATATTCATGACACGTTTTAGATGCACATGAAGAAAAAAGGAGTAAAAAAAGGAATAACTGCCATTGATATTTAAGTCAATTTTTATGTTATTCGCTACTAATGTTTTTCTTAGAAAAAGTAATCTTGTATAAACCTAGTCATCAAAGGAGCAATTACTGAGAGCACGCGCATTTTTCTGATTCTAGTGTCACATTTTTTTTAAATCTCATAAACTTTAAATAAACATTACGCATTCATCGGATGACTGCTATTTTATTTCAAAGACGGAAAATCAGTAACGAAAGCACTTATCTTGTCGGTGATTGAATTTTTTGTTACCGAAATCTTTTATATATTAGATTACGGGGTAGAGAAGATGAGTGGAGGCCAGATGATAGGGAGGAGAGTTGAGCATAGGAGAAGTTTCATTATGCTGCTACGACAGGACCTGGTGCTTTACGAATTGGATTGTTTTTTTATTTTATTTATGCTTGCTATATACAGAAATCTGAGTCTCAGAATTCTCAGTCCTCTTTACTTATCTGTTCTTTTGGATACGTTTGTACGAAAACAGTTGTCGGAAGTAGACTCCTCCGCAGGTATCTCTTTTTTTTTTTTTTTTTTTTGGATTTCCTGTGCTAGAAGTTTGGACTTCCTGTATGTGCTAGTAAAGAAAGAGAGGACTAACTTCCGCAAATCAGTTGCCTGCGAAGTAGGGTGGTGGGGACGTTAGCTACTGCATGCCCCTGGGGGAGGGGGGGGGGGAGTACTCCCATGTACCCAGGCCGGGAATGATCGTCGTATCTTTTACCGGGGTTGAAATCGTAAGTCAGTCCTTCTTTTAGGGGATGAAAAAAGAAAAGTTGTTGGTCTTTATCTCGTGAGGTATTATTTAGGGGTACGCGATTGGTTGCCTCAAACATGATGTCAGTCATCAGTTATTTACTTTCAGTGTATGTTGCGATAAACTCAACGATTTTTGTTTTCAATAATTTGTCTTGTGTTTCAAGGACCACGACCAAACTTTCTTTTAGGGGCTAAATTATTTTTTAGACGATCATTCCCGCCTTTTTTACATGGGAATACCCCCTTCTCCCTAGACTGCATGTCCTAACGGGCTGTTCCTTACCGTAACGTCACACCGTACGTTACCCACCGTCAATATCCCGGGGCTCTCATTTATTTAGTACTCATTTAGATTTAGAGTCCCACGATCCTTTACTTCCCTTCAAAGCCCACCTTCACCTCCAGCTACCTTTAGTGAGTGAGCGAGTGCGACTTACAATGTTTTGTTTATTCACAGAATCCCATTTAGTTCCTTCTCCTGGAGCCATGTCCCTTGATACTACCTGCGAAAAACAAAAGCCCTTGGTTTCTTCAGGAAGGAGAGAGCGCAACACTTCAACCAGTACTTTAGCAAGTGACGGTAAGAAAAGCATTAGTGGCAGTGACAATTTAGAAAAACTTACGTTCCTGGTGAAATCACTGCCGGTTTTGTTACTCACCCGCGTTAAAGATTGTAATGTTGCCCGCTCAGAACAGTTACCTGGAAACAGCTTGAAATTTGATGGCTGTCAGGAATGGTACCCTCTTGGCCAATGAGAGAAAATGAATTTTGACGCTTGGTATATAGTATAGGGCCTATATAACATTTTGGTTTATTTCCAGGTGAGCAGAAAGTGCCGGTCCATGTGATGGCAGAAAATATCGAAAGTAAGAATTCATGCATGATTCTGTCACTCCTTATTTACCGTTGCTATGCCCCACAAGCTCAGCCAGTTATCTAGAAGATCTCAAGATTTAAAACTCTGATCATCCAAAATTGATTATAACTTATTTCAATCGTTTACTGTCTTGTAAAAATGAAATTAAATCGCTTCGCAATCCTCGAGGTACTCTTTAACAGATACACTGTATAGTTGTTTGTGGGACAAGACTAGGAAAACTCTGCAACGGAGATTGGTTCGCTATGGTCCGAGTCGGAACCATCAATTGTTCGGAACCATCGTTATTTTTTTGCCTCGATGATTCATCATGGGCTTGCTATACTCTTTTTTAATTCTATGAAAGACAAGGGCAATGGAGGCTCCTCGTCCTTATTCCTCCTATTCCCCACTCCCTCTGGTCCTCACTCCCCCAGAGCCTGGCTACATAGACTTAGACTAGTGGGGTAATAATTGCCATATGTTATTTTTGTAGGTCCTCCTTCAAGCAGTGCTATTGGTGATTCCAGGTCACCTGACCATTATACTCCTACATTAGATTGTGTTCCAAGTTCTAATCCAAACTCGCCGCTGTCACATTGTTATGGTGGAATCACTTCTGACAGCGAAGGTAATGACTTCATTTGTCATAAGGTAGCAATGGTGTGATTCGATGTTGTGCGCAACTCTGCAGAATAGTGCAACTTAGGGGACTTAAAATTAGGCAACATAAGATTAGGGGACTTAAAATATTTGCAAGTTCTACGACGGAAAAAAAAACCAGGAACCTCTGCCACCCAGAGTCGGGAAAATTTGTTACGTGTGAAACTCTTTTTATGACCGGAGGTCGCTCGCCTATCCTTCCCCCACCCCCCTTCCCCC